ACTGGCATTTTGTGTGCCCTCTCAGCTTTTAGTAAAACATTGTGAATCTGTGTAAGGAGAAATGGTAATGAGTAGAATATTTGGCTTCCAGATAGCCATGTGCTATGTGTACATATTAATAGGTTCACATTAGTGGAGATTGAATTGGTGATATTTAGCCTTGACATCCCCCAAAATGGGAGGTCATTTTTTTTAAGGAAAGGAGCATTTTGTGTCTGCCTACCCCTTAGGACCTATCTTCCTCTACCCGGCATTGACCCAGCTGCTTCCTTGGGTGGAGCACGGGGCACCCTGCTTTTCCGAGCAACAGCCACCGAAAGGGTATGTGGTGATGACCACAGGGCAAAGGGGAGTTGGGGGAAGTCGTCCTACCCCTGTGTCAGGGCACCGTTTGGCCAGAGCAGCTTTCAAAAGTAGAATTCAGGGGAGCGCCAATGTGCCTGCTCAGACACCCGCGCGAGGTGTACAAGCTAGTGTGCCACTCCACTGTGCCCGACTTCCCTTGTGGGCGCGCCAGGACCAGACTCTCCACGGGTTCGCTCTGAACCTCATGAGCGCACTTGACTAGCTCTCTTTTCCCCTCGCGGTTGTCTCTAAGCCTGACTTCCTGGAAAGCTCCTATCGAGGAATAGAGGGCTCCAGATACACATGGGTACGTCTTCTGGCCACAGCCGCCTGTGAGGGTCACGTGTGTAGGGCCATCGTGAGTGTGAAAGGCACACAGCATCGCTGCTCCCCACGACCCGGCCGTCCTGTTTTCCCTAGACAGGTGCTACGTATCTGTCTTCTCGGGTCTAGGAAACTCACTCAGGAAAAAGATCAGAATATTAAATACAAAAATAAGAGGATATGAAGCACTTTCCTTAACAGAAGTTTTATCTAACATGAAACTGTACCCTGTTGAATTTAGCAGTGAAGTGAGTTCTCTGATATGTTGGTTGGGAGTGGGTCAACTCATGCCTTAAAGTGGATGGTGGAAAGGAAAATGAAATGAGACTGTGGCCACCGCTCAGCCCACACTCGGCATTTGGTGACTTCCAAGTAGATGCTGGTTGATTTCTGCAGTTAGTGGCCACGAGTTCAGTTGGATAAGCATTTGAGGTGGTTGTGCATGATGTCCCCTGCTGCTGCTGTGACCCTGCCGTGGCTGTCACTTCCTTGGAGCAGCAGCAGCTTAGACTGTCAGGGACACACACTGTCCACGAAAGCACCCCTGGGAGAGGCAGGGGAGGCTGGCCAGGTGGCTTTGGCTGGTCCTCAGAGGACCCCCAGGGATGTGCAGGGAGGAGGACCCGTGACAGTCACATTGGATTATTTCCTTCTCTGCCACGGGCAGAAGAAGCAGCTGAGATTGGGGATTTCAGAGCATCAGCTTCGTGAGAATGGTGTTTGAGTCCCAGCTCTGCCGTTTTTGTTTGTTTTTTTTTTCCTAGCTGAGTTCCGCAGAAGCCAGATGCCGAGACAGGATTCAAATGAAAGTGAATCATTAGAAAATGTTCCAGAGAAAAACTGGTAGAGGAGTAGGGAAGTGAGACAGGTCGAGAAACCAAGTAAGGATGTGAAGCCAAGTCATGTCCCCCTGTGGGCGGGGACACAGTAGGGTAAACGTCTGTCTCATGGCCTTTGGAAGCAGTGGCTCAGGTTGTCCAGGTCAGGGCTAACCCCAGGAGGAGGTGCCGTATTTTGCCACGTATAATGTGTACCCACGTTTTGTGCTCATTATACATGGACACAGTGATTACATACCATGGGTATAATCATGGGAATAATAATCCCATGTATAATTTTTCCCTCAAAAAATTTTCCCTAAAAAATTTGGGCAAAAACATGCTCATTATACACAACAAAATATGGGTAAATTCCTAGGCACTGTTCATTCATTGTCCAAGTGCTAATCGAGTTGGCCGTGGGCAGCCAATAGAGGTGTGGTTCTGGGGGCCACAGTGAAAGCACATGGGGAGCCCGTACATGGGAACGGTTAAGGGTCGACATCGGCCTAAGTGCGGACAGCGTCGGCTGCGCTGGCCTCGGCCGTCTCTTACACCCTCTAGCCTGTTTTCTTGTTTGTTCGATGGGAGAAAAATAACTATTTAAAGCCATTAGGGAGGTACCACAGGTCATCCCACTGTGGAGATTCCACAGGAAAGGCACCTGAGTTTTTGGTAACTGCCAACTTCTGCTGGCTCCATGTTGAGTCACGACACACTCCAAGGGCTAAGCAAACATGCAAACTAACCAGATATGTAGAATTCGGATTATAACAATACATATCTAAAAGAAGCAGTTCAGTTGCATAAGAAAGTTATGAAAGCTACAGCTAATGTAAATAATGCCTCTAGAAAACGGTCTATAAGAGGATTCTAGTGTTTCAGATGTTTTCAGCAGAAGAACCAAGACATGACGGCATGTCTCAGTGAGACTATTAACAGTTTTAACGGTGTGTGTGCAGCAGATAAGGTTGACGGAACCCTAGTGGTCTAGTTCTTTCCCTTCGAGTACTAATAAATTTAAGTCTGAAAATACAGCAGGTGGATCTGGAGTGAATTGAGGGGTGTTGGGAGCGATACCTGGTGAGTCCGTTCAGCGACGGTTCATTGAGCATTTGCCCTGTGACAGACAGGACACCACCTAGTCACCAGGTGCCCTGGGGATGGACAGAAATAGGAGGAAAGCCAATGTAGAGCAGTCATCATAGAAGTGTTTCAGCTGCTCCCGTTTTAACTACTTTGTACTTAATCCCTCGGTTAATCCCCACAGCAATGCTAAGAGGAAAGTTCCATTATTACCCTGTTTCAGGTAAGGACACCAAGAATAATTATGTAACGAGTTTACATAACTGGCGAAGGCAAAAGCGCAGGTTCGGCCCAGGCGGTCTGACCCCAGAGTGTGCCCTCCATGCCTCTGGGTCCTGGGATTGCCTCGGAGTGAACTACTTACAGTGCTCACCGATGTGGGCACTGTAGCCCAAGTGCAGAAGTCGCATTTGTTTTACATGACCATGTTTCATACAACCTCACTAAAGAATCGTAGTTATATGAAAAAGACAGGTGGTAATTCCAGGAACCTCTATAAATCCTCTAAGATTCAGTCAGATTCACTAAATTTAATGGAACACTGTCGATTTTGGACCTTATTATTTCTTAGTATATGTGTGTGTGTGTGTGTGATATATTTGTGTATGTGTGTATATGATGTATAAAACTATGAGTATATGTTATTTATGGGTAGATATGTATGGGATGTATAAAATTTATGAAATGTAGGTAATTTCCTCAAAGCAAATGGATGTCTCTTCCTAAGGCTAAATCAGTAGCCAAGGTTTATGGGGACAGGGGCCATACCTGCACCTTTGAGAAAACGACTTCGTGAACAGAACCTTTTGGGCCGCTGAATAACACCCTCTGGTGCCATGAGCCCATTGTCTAAAAGGCTCTCCCGCATTGTTCTGCAGGGGGGAGTCAGGGACTGTCTTACAGACTTGGCTCCTGATTTCCTTTTCTCTATCATGCCTGGGTTCTTCGTGAATGCAGAAGCTGTCCGAGTAAGGCCATCTCCCCTCTCTGCTGGCACGTCTGGAGAAATGTGCCACACACACGCCCACTGAGTGTACGGGACACTTTTGCCTGCCTCTAGGTCTGTACCTCCTTCCCCAAAGCTTTTCCCATTCTTGTAGGATTAACAGTCCCCATTTGGGACATAGGACCTGGGTGAGGCATGTTATTGTTCTGATACCATTTTTTTCTGATAGGATTTGTTCGTATAAACCAGTGGACATGAAACCAAGCTTTCAAAAACAGAAGGCTTCCCATTCACTGGAATTTCTTTGTTGGGATGCTCTTTTAGGAGAAAGGCAAATTGTCAGCAGAGAAAGTTGTATCTAGGACTCATTTAACAACAAACCGGGTGTCCTCTTTGCCATTGGAGATCCTCTAATGGTGCAATGGAAAAAACATCGATCAGCTCACAATTCTGGGTCATGAATCCAGTTCTGTCAGTAATCAGCCCCTGTGGTCACGGGCAAAAGCTCTCAATTTCTCTAAACTCAGTTGCACATCTATTAATAAAACTTTACAGAAAGCTAAGTCTACTCTGTCCCTTTCAACTCCCACAATATTTTTCTGTTATTCCTTAGATGTGGACCTGGTACGCTGCAAGAGATTCCTTCCCAGCAAGCCCTGGCGATCGGTGTTTTTCTTTTAGTCATTTACTAGAGGGAAGACAAGGAAGGCAGGCTAACCCCATCTGCAGATGGTGGGAAGCCAAGGGTAGGGAACATGCTCAGTACAGACATGGGGTTCAGGAAACCGTGACAGCCCACAGTCGTCAAAACTACCGAAGGCCGAAACAGCCGAGACAAAATTTGATAGGAATCAATAAAGTCCTATGGATAGGTTTTTTAAAGATAAAGTTCACAAATGAAGGAAGTGGAAGTCCAGGCTTACAGCAAGTCCTCTAAGAGACTTGACTGTTACTTTGTTCGCTGCAAATATACTGTAACGGAACCGGGACAATGCCACTGCCAAAGTAAACTCGCTGAGGCTGCCTTCGTAGAGGGGGCATCTGGAATAAGGAGAGCACCAGCCCTCGCCCTCCACACTGGCCTAACTGAGCTGGGGTCATCTCGTGAGCCGCAGCCACCCAAGTTTAAGGAGGTGGGCACACAATGCAGTGTACAGATCACATATCACAGAAATGTGCACTTGAACTCTGTGTAATGCTATTAACCAATGTCACCTCAATAAATTTAAGTTAAAAAAAGGTTAAAAGGAAAAAAATTTTAAAAAGATATTGCTAAGCCAGAACAAAACAGACTTACTGGTAAAGACCCTTGAAATCATGTGAGGAACTGGAGATGTTTGATCTGAGGGGGGAAGGAGTAATGGCAATGTGTTATGTCATGGAAGAGGGCTTTCACCAATTACTCTGAGGTAGCATGGTAACCTTGTACAGTACACCAGAAATGTAGACTGGAATCAAACATATTCACGCGTGCCTTTCAGCTCTGTCAGCTTCTGTACCTTGCTCAGAGAGCCACGCAGGAGAATTAAGTAAGAGAGCACGTGAAGTACCTGGCAGACTTACAGGTAAGAGTTAGTTTCAGTAAAGGCTCATCTCCTCTTTGTTTGCCTTCCCTTCACGAGGAGAAAAACAAGGGCAGTTAAGTGGCTGTTCAGGAAAGTACTTTGTGCCGATCACAATGATCCCGAAGTAGAACGAGCGGCAGGCAGACGGTGGGAGCAGACGTGGGAGTGTGGGGCCCGCTAGCTGAGCCCCACTCAACGCCCTGCCCCACTCCGATGCCCCCCACCCCGCCCCTGCGGCTAGCCTAAACACGGCTGCATAGAATAATGGTTTTGATGTTCCATGGGAGGCTTCTGGGTATGATTTCATGTGAATAAATAATTCACCAAATTTGAAAAAGGCAGAAACTCAGTGGATTCTGTGATCCCTGCGGTCTTCTCTTCCCCGTTCTGTGGACGTGCGCATGATTACAAGTGATGGTCCCTGCAGCATGTCCTTTACGGCTGCAGACCCAGTTATCAAAGACCCCAATGTGTCACTCTGCCACGCCTCCTAAGTGAGGGAGTCATTTTGTCAGTTGTGAAAAGGCGCTCAGGTGTGGCCAACCAGAGATGTCTGGCTACCTCCCCGCCTTCTCCACATCCCTGCTGCCCTGCCTGCTTGCCCCAAGGTGGAAGATGGAATTAACTTGCCAGTGTTTTGACTCTGGAATTTTCTTTAAACAGCTGCTATTTAAATGGCCTCAGTCCTCTCCAGCTCTCCACATCAGAGCTTTCACCGTCAGAAACAGTGGGCCTTGCAAACCTTCTGAACTATCTCAGACAGTGAGTTCCTTCTCCTGCTGCATGGAAGCACCCAGGGCTAGTGACACGTGTGCTTTTGGTAAAGGAACAAACGTTCATCCTGGGTCCGCAACCAGTGATCAGACCATGGACCTGCCATTCCCAGGGGTTTGGGTTCATGTGTTTGCATGTTGTTTTTAGGAAGACGACTGAATACAAGAAGTAGTTTTATATGGACCCTGAGGAATTTCCTGCATCCTACATGTAATCAGAACGGTGTTGTTGGATAGGAACTCAGAAAAAAGGGCGACAGGAGATTTCAGAGCCTGAGGGCTTCTCAGCCTTGGCACCACTGACATTTTAGTCCAGATACTTGTGTGTGTGGCGGGGGCGGGTCCTGTGCATTGGAACGTGGTGAGCAGCATCCACCACCTGCACCCTCTCAGTGGGACCAGTAGCACCCAGCCCCCCCAGTGCTAACAGTCAAAAGGTCTCTCGGGGTTGCTAGCCATTCCCTCAGGCAGGGGGACAGGGACGGGCAAATGGCCCCAGCTGAGAACCGCTGGTCTAGACCCCAGGATTGCACATTGGCAAGACAGGGACCAGGGTTGTTGTGGGAGTCAAATTAGATAAAGTATGTTTTAGTGCCTTTAAAAGTAAGACAAATATTTATCCAGATAGTCACAGTACACCCCTTATCTTCTCTTTGTTCATTTGTTCATCTAAGACTTTGAGCCAGGTGCTAGAGACCCATAAATAAATGAACCTTGAGAGGCTTCAAGGTCTTCCAGGTACACTAAAAGGTTAGAAGGAAAAGGGAGAGCCTGTGAGACACCCCGTAGTAAGCGTCTGTATACCACATGCACGAAATGTGGTGGGAACCGAGGAAGGGGGGCTGCCTTCCAACCAGCCCTGGAAAACCAGCAGGGCTGTGGGGCCGAAGGTCTGCAGCAATTACCAGTTGACTAATTACAACTAATTCCTTTTCATGCCACGCCACGTATTCCAGCAGTTTTGCCAGAGGTATTAAAGGTGCGTGCTGACAGCAGTGTTCAGCACAGATTAAGGTGTCATCATTTTTTGAGGGCTATGAAATCTGAATGAGCAACTTAAGAACTGAAGCTGTCACAGGCATCTGTCATCTTCCCCTGTCCTTGTTCATTTCTGCTCCAGTGATCACAAAGCAAACAAACAAAAAAAGTAAATGAAGATACAACTCCAGCCCAGATTTCCTTAAGCAGAGTCACCATTTCAGAGATGTGGGGTCACACTGGGTCAAAGTGGGAGCTCGGTCCTGAAGATGCTCTTCAGGTGGACCTTGGTCAGTTCATTTCAGGTCTGTTGATTCAAAAAGAAACATTCTTAGCACCGTGGACACCTGCTAGAGACTCCAAATCTTACACTGTATATCTAGATAGAAAAAAATCTGCCCATGTACTTACCTGCTAGTGCCAAGGAGACTGGATGGGTCATCACGGAAGGAATAGAACGATTGAGCTTTCCTCTAGCACAGGTGTCCGACCTTTTGGCGGCTCTGGGCCACACTGGGAGAGGAAGAGTTGTCTTGGGCCACACATTAAGTGCACAGACACTAATGAAAACTGATGAGCAAAAAAAGTTTCAAGTAAAAGTGAGGTGTTGCGTTGGGCAGCCCACAGCCCATGGTCGGTGGGTTGCACGCCCCTGAGGGTGCTGTCCGTGGAATGATCACTAGTAAGGAGACCCTGTATGAAAGCTGGGGTGCCCGATGGAGCTGTATGTACATTAAAGGCTGCAGCGTGTCTCCCTCTGAGCCTCCCCCCATGACTTTACTGAGTCACGGGTTGAGTAGAGCAAAAGCGGTTAGCTTTAGTGCCTGCTGCACTAATGGTTCTGCGTCACGTGTGTTTTGGAAGAGCCCTCTTGGAGCCTGTCACTCACACGTGTTTACGAGGAATGCAACCACTGAAACATCAGCTAACACGTCCCGGTGAATGCACAGTCACATCTGAGTGCCTCCAGCGCTTCCTGTCCCTTCCCTTTGACAGCTTCCAGAACTGGAGGCTGCAGGGGTGACCTGGGAGACGCAGATGAGCGTGGATTAAAGACGTGTGGGAGAGTGCGGGAGCTGCAAAGCCAGCTCTTGAAATTAATGTAATTGGTATGCGATTAAATTTCCTCCATCTAAGACCTGCCTTTTACCACGAGAGACATTAATCTCCACATTTAAGTTTCCATTAACGTGGAACATTCCACATACCAGTCACCCATGCCTTCGCCATGATCATGCCACACGTTTTCCCCAGTATTGCAAGCAAAGTAACAGACAAGCGGCTGACGGGACCTTGTGGTGCACTCAGAATCCTTGTGAAAACTTTCCCAGCAATTTTTCATCTACATGTGATCATGTTTGTGAGAAACAAATGTGCCAACATGGGCATGAGCACGGTCCAGTGGCCCCGATTGGGCCGTTCACTGTGAACACCTAGTCTGTGTCATGATTTATACATCAGAAACTTAGTAAGTTCATGTCCTATCTCCAGGTCCAGCTGATTGTCTTCAGCCTCCCTCACTTGGAGAAAATATGTATGCTTTTCATAAAGCTACCAGGAGTCAATTCATTCGCCAAAATATTTTGAACACCGACTATGTGCCAGGCACTATTCCAAGTGCTTGAATGCCTCAGTGAACGAGAAAGACAAACATTCCAGCTGTCACGAAGCTTTCCTCAGCAAGATGTATGTGGGGGTGGGGGGACCGTGTGGCAGATAATAGGCTACACAACAATAGTTAAATGATCTAGCGTCTTAGTAGGTGGGAAGGGCTATGGAAAACCAGTCCATTCGTTCCTCATTGGAGCGGATCCAGAAGTTGACTTTGAATATTTTATATGCACCCTCTAAGTTTGAAATGTTGGAAACCAACTCAAAATAATTTGACACTTCACGCGTCCTTGTGCTCCATCCAGAGGCTGCGGCACAGATTCTCTCTGGTGACTGATGGGGAACCCCGGGCCCAAAGGGGACTGGCAGGAGTGGGGCCCCAGGTGCTGGAATCAACTTAAAAATCTGTAGTGAAATCCTGCAGAGTTCGGCAGGTCTTCAGGTGCGTGGTGAGTTGGCGTCCCTGTGGCAGAGCAGGCAAGGGCAGAGACACTTTGAGATTCGTGAATCAGGTTGAGACAAGAGCCTCATGGCATCGCTCTGCTCTCTTATGTGGCAAGTCGGCCATTGAAGTGTTCCCCCCGATGGACATGCCCTTGCTCATCTGTCTCGCTCACCACTGACCACTGACCATGTCCTTGGGCTTCCAGGAGCACCAGAGGTATGGCCAGGGGTGGGTCTGCTGGGCTTGCCATCCTGGCTTTCTCCTGGTCCTGTCCCCATTCCTGTTCTGCATGTAACCTGGACTTGGCCATCATGGATAGAGTCCCACTAAATCGCTTGATGAAAACAGTGTTTGTAAATCCGGGTTAAGAATAGAATTTAAAGGGCACCACAGATTGGAATGGAATGGAATAAACAAAGTCAATGCCATGGCTTCTCCACTTATGCCCCTAAGGCTGCCTCACTGGAACTTGGGTTCCCCAACTGTAAAAGGGGCTTTAAATCTTCGTACCCACAAGCTGGCGTGAGGACAGAAAGGTTAAGAGAGTGTGTCTGTAGTAACACTGAGAACTGTCCACGGCAATTCACACTCTGGCAGTTTCAGTTACTTCTGTCCGCTTTCTCTAAGGACAGGTTGGGGACGGGTTGGACAAGTTCACTGTCATTTCAAAGGTTGCTTTCAGAAAGGACCTCAGGCACCCAGTGAGACCAACCTTAGCTGTTTCTCAGAATAAGCTGGGAGTTTTTTGAAAAATACCGATTCATAAGCTCCAAACCTAGAGATTATGATGCCTCAGATGGACAGCAAGGCCCTGGAGCTTGCTTGCTTGCATGTTTTGCATTTGTGATTGTCTATTTTAGGAAAACTCCAAACATGAATCTGGAGATCAGCTCGTTTAGGAAACCTTGCTCCAACTTCCTACTAGTGCTGACCTCCTCTTTTCATCCCTGGCTTCACTTGGAAGTGGAAAACCATTAACTACTCAACCTCTCATCCTTCCTACTCAGTGCACTTGTCCCCTTGCATCCCCATCACTTGGCACCCCACCTTGACAGCTGCTGTTGCCAAGCATCCACGTTAATCTACTCTGATAGCCTCGCCTTTCCACCTGCTGCCCTCTAGTGGAGGTACTGACAAGCAGCAAATGTAAATGGCTCCAATGTAAATGGCAGCCTCAAGGGTTGGCCAGTCCC